CCTGAATGATTTTATCTTTTTCCCTGACCCTGAAGAATATTCAAACCTTCTGAAATTCAATAACGTATGAAAAAATTACTATAAAACATAAAGAAATCGATCAATTTAAGATGACAGAGTGATAAAATCATTATTTTATACCATAAGAATATTGTACCAATAAATTCAAATTTTTAAAGATTTTAATCTAAACCCTTTTCGAAATTCAATTATTTCTAAAAATTCACGCTATAATGATTTTAATATTCAATTATAATTTAAAATTTTAAGTGAAATTCATTTTTTAATGAATTCTTATTAGCAAATTTTTCGAGAATTCAATTATTTAATCTTGTGAAGAATTTTATTCAATTTTTTTTAAATAATTGTATTTCTCAGAATTTATTAAAACTTTTTGAAAATAATTAAATTCCATTCAATTGCAATTTTTTTTAACTAAAGCTTGTAAAGAATTTTGTCAAAATTTTTTTAAATAATGAATTCCTATGGAATTGTTATTAAATTGTTGGTTTAAATAATTGGATTCTTTGGGAAAATTTTATTAAAATAGTAGATAATATTAAAAATAATTGAAATGAGGAAAATTTTGATAATATAATTGAAATTTTGCCAAGAATTTTATTAAATTTTTTGGAAATAATTAAATTTCGGAGAACAATTTTATGATTTATAAAGATAATTGAAACTTTGACGAGAATTTAAAAAAATTTTTGAACATAATTGAATTTAAGCGAAAGAAGTTTATCACTTTTCAAAATAATTCAATTTCCGTAATGAGTGTTCTTAAAATTCCTATTTAAAATTTTAAATTCATTAAAAATTGATATTTTCTAAAATTTCAAATTGAATCCTTTGAAGTTAATCTATTTATGAAGATTGTAAACGCAACTCTTTTGAAATACAATTTATTTTGAAATTTTTAAGTAAAATTATTTATTAATAATTTAATTTATAATTAATAATAAATAATTAATAATTTAATTTTAATTTTTAAATAATTTTATGATAGTTCTTCAAGAATTAAGTTATTTAAACAGAAATTATTGTCAGAAATAGAAAAAATTGAAGGTTTTGTATTAGAATCCTTGACAATTTTTATAGTTAATGAGAAAAACAAAAAAGACACAAAAATTACGAATTTTCTTATAAATTCTAAAAATTTAATATTTTCCAGTACTTTTATTAAAAATCCCTGACTTTTCCCTGCGATTTCTCTGACCAATTCTAATTTCCCTGACTTTCCTGACCTGTGGCAACCCTGCAAGAGGTAAGAGGGTAAGATCTTGGTAAAAGGGTAAGAGATAGGTTGCCTCTTGGTAGGAGATAAAAAAGTTTGAGGCTAGTGATCAAAAGCAGATTCATCAAAGCTAATCGGAAGTAATTCAGACCCTGAGGTGTTTTATTGCATTTGAGGTGAGAATTTCCAAAAGAAGCTAGGCGATTGTTGATCTAGTTAAAAACCGAAAAGTGTCAGCACGCGCAATTCTGTATTTACAATCATTACCAATAGGATTACCGTAATCGGTTGATACCGCTAGACTCTATACCGCCCCGTCAATTCGTTCCCGTTTCCTTTTCTCTCTAAAGGAATGAGCGATTTTCCTTGTACCCCCTTTGCCTGCCCAACACCTTCATTAAAGTACCCCTCCTCCAATTCTTTTATCCAACTACTGCTGGCCAATTACTTTCCCGCCTGGGAACGCAGTCTTTTTGGTCTCTCTGTGTGTGTGTGTGTGTGTGTGTGTGTGTGTGTGTGTGTGTAAGAAGAAGGGAGGGAATGAGAGGAATAAAGAAAGGAAAGAAAGATGAGAACATGCATGTATGTATGTATATAAGAGATGAGGAGTAAGAGACCGGTGAGAGAAGAGCTGAGAGGAGACGAGTAGACGAGACGAGTCGAGAAAGAATACATATAAAAAAGTGAAGGACCTGAAGCGAGGTGAGGCTTTGAGTTAAGGAGAGAGGGATATAGTTGAGGGTAGGGTTCGCGACAGTGCTTCTCAGCTCATGCCATGAAATCTAAGCCAGGTCATTGATATGACTTACAGTGGTAAATAATATTCTATTGAGAAACACGGAACTTGGACAAAAGATCTCGTGGGACTTCCTATTCCTTCCATGTGCAGGTTGTGAATTGAAATTCTAGACAGATTGGGCATTTTTGATGAATCAAGGTCGCTGGAAGGTCAACCGACCAGATTTTTCAAAGAAAGCTAATCCTTTCTTTTCAGAATCCTTAAGAAACGAAAAGTTTTGGAACATTTTGAACTATTTTTTAGGTTATATTCCCAAAAATTACCACGTGCTATCACTGCAAAAAAGAGGTGTCTTATTTTGAGATATTTTTAGTGTCTAAGACACTAAAAACGTCTCAAAATAAGACACCTCTTTTTGAAGAGTGTCAATCATATAATAATGCTGCAAGAAAGTGGCTTTTTGTGTCTTAGAAAAAGAAGATTTCGTATCAATTTGGTTTGTTTCTTTCTTTATGGTGTGAGTCATCTTCTCTCTTTCACTATGGGAAATTATAATTCAAGCGAGAGAGCATCCTCAAGTATATATGTGATTTTACATTAAAACTTGATTTTCAAGGCCTTTGGCAATAGTTCTTAATCCCAACGGAGGTTGATTAACTTGTTTCAGGCACACCTTAGTGTTTTTAAGCCTGCTAGTAAAACCCCAAGAGCAAAACTCGTTAAATCCACTTCCGCTAGTTTCTGAATACATTTACTTTAAATGAACACCCTATTTTGAATAAATGTTGAACAGGATTTCACTTTATTGGTGTCGTTAAAGAGTGACTTTTTTTTCACGTGTACGTGAAATCAGAGTATATTCTCATCCGTAGATGATCATCTGACAAATGAGCCATCATTTTGTAATGCTTAAAAATGCTAATTTGTACGGTAAAATTTTGAACCAAATGACCGATTTTGCCAAACCAATTAGATTTTTTAGCAGGACACAATTTTTGTAAATTTTGTTGCTAAAAGTTTAGGTACTATTAGGGTTTGTACAATAATTAGTTTCCTAATTATTCATTCACTTGTTATAGTAAATATGCTGGATGAATTTCTTAAAAATGCTGCGTTGAAGAAATCAATCATTTAGTTCAGTTTAATCATCTTATTTTTTTCTAGAATATTGCTGTAGCATAAAAATATTTAGATGGTGTTTTGAATTATTGCAGGTTTAGGTACCATTAGGGTTAATTTTAGCCCAGTTGTTAGTATCCCAATCAACCATTCACTTGTTTCCGTAAAATAATCTTCCGTAAATATTGACAAATTAAGGTAATAGTTCTCAATTGCAAGTTTAGTTACTGTTGGGGTTAATTTTAATTCAGTAATTAATTTAAATATGCAATCGCAAGTTGGTAAATCTTCGGCTTGATGCGGAATATTTCATTCAGAAATGTGCATCTTTTGAAGAAATTAAGTTGCTTGTTCTGTAATATTGATGTAGTGTTTGGAATATTGCTGAAAGTTTAGATGATTTCAGAAGTAATTATAATCCAGTAATTAGTGCTTAAGAAGTTCGTTCTTCTAAATTGTTGCTGCACTAATAAAATACTGAGGCAGTGTTTTGAATAAAACTGAAAATTCAAATGATGTCAGGTTCGATGTTAATCGAGTAATTAGTGCCCTAATCCAATAAGTTGGTAAATCTTTATGCTGAATAAATTTTTGAAAAATCTACATTTCTATGAAACACAGAAACTATTTCAGTTCAATTCATTTAATATTCATTAATCCTAAACATAATATCCATTATAATGTAATAATTTAAAAAATCTTGTGCAATTTTTGAGGAATTTAAACAGAAATTCTCAAGTGACAATTTTCGGAATATTTCTCATTTCCTGTTGTGTAAAATCCAAGAAGAGGATTGATGTCACAATAAACAAGTTTCTTGTAATATTCGCTGATGAAATTTTATTAATATTTCTTATCAAAAGAACCATGGACTGAATTGCTGTATTATACAAATAAATATTTTCTTATCGGTTTGCGCATTGATATTCCTTCACATAAGTCTAGACACTAGAGAGTGTTAAACAATTTTTAAACACGAGATCCTTTTTTGGTTGTGCAATCCAATTTTGCATATACCAGTTGTTTGCATGTTTAATTTGCTGATTTTGTGTCCTTAATAATGTTTTCTAAACAAATGAGTGTCTTATGCAATGCATAGAATGGAATAGTTTAGTAACCTTTCTCGACTAATCCGTGTTGTAAAGAATGTCAGGTATATCAGGGTTGAATGGTATTTGATCTTGTTTTTATCGTCCTTTGCCAATGAGTGTATGTTGGGGTTTATGATGGTTATGTATGCGGCCCTGATGGTTGAGAAACACTGATATAGAATAGTAGTTCTGGAAGGGATAGACGACGATAGAGACGCAAGGAAAGGCTCAAGGCCGGTCGCGCTGTCAAGCCAGAAAGCCTGCGCGCCGAAATATCAACAAGCCTTCCTAATACACGTTGCCTCGTTGAGTTTTTTCTTCTTCTATTTCTTATTAGCATATTATTACCTTCGCCGTTTCTGTGAAATAGTTTCATTCATATGGTTACTGGTTAATACCAGATTGTTCAATTCATTTAGATGAGAGGGAGAGGTTAAGTATCCTTTAGGGACAGGTGGCTGAGAAAAATAGCAACCGTTAACATTGTGACAGACACTTCGCGAAAGGCGAGCAAGTCAGCGGTTACGAAACTTGACGCTGCAAAAACGCTAAAGAAACAGAGAGACAGGCGATAAAGAGAAGGACAGTAAGAAGGGTGAGAGGCGGAAAGGGACTGAAAGAAAGCACCCATGTAGGAAGAAGAAGGTGCACATCAGTTCTCAGGTGCCGACACATTCACATTTCGGCATTCTCAATTTTTTCCCCTTCTACAATTCTTTAATCCTTCTTTTTTTTAACCTCTTTTTTATACATTCTTGTAAGGCATGCGAATTCCTAACCTAATGTTTGGATGATTGTTTTTTTAATAACTCACCTCATGCCGTTGTTGATTTTTTCTTGTAAACAAAAGCACTAGACACAAATATAATAATGATGATGATGATAAAATCCTAAAAGGTTACTCTGCTTCTTGCTCTCCTCGAGGTTTTTCGATATGAGACTCGCAAACACACACGACACACGGCACTTTCACGTCCGCACTGGTTCTCAGTCCCTGTTGCTGCTGGTAGTACGTAGGTAACAGGTAAACCAGATGTAGACCTCAAAACGGCACACCTCGTTATGTTACAACGAGTTACAAGCCTTCGTGTTACTGCGGCTACCTCTCGGACTCGCCGTGTTGCGCTCCAGCAACACTCCACTCCGTCACGAGCTCAAACTGCTGGTTCTTGGCTGACTGTGGTTGCACGGAAAAATTTGATACAGTGCATAGCCACCAGAGGGACTGTCTGTCACATGCAGGGCCGTCTCTTCAAATTTCAAGACTGTTGTTGTATTTACAGAAACGGTGTATTCAACCTTTGGATTTTATTTATTGTTTGCTAATAGGTTCAGCAGTACCATTTTCAAAAGAATGGTCCTTCTTCAAATCGATTTATTAAATTCTTATTCTTTTAAGAAGTGATAAGTAATTCTTGAAGAGATGATAAATAACAAATATTTTGCTGATTTCTTAAATTTAATCGAATGTACCAGATCAGTTTTTTAAGGATATCAAATTGAGACAAAAAGTGTTGCTTTGCCAAAATTTTGATTCGTTTTTTGTCTCAATTTGATATCGTTAGAAAAGCTGTGAGATAGTACAACTTGTACTAAATTTTGGGCCAATGCAGATTGTTGATAAATGGCAGTAATGACGAATGCTACGGCAATTATGACTGATTGTACCATATTGTTTTGGTCTATACCCAACTGTATGGCAAAAACAACCAATAGTGAGGAAACAATTAGAAAACTTATGATTTTAAGAATTGGAATGTTACCTTAGTAACCTTAGCGTATCGTAGTATAAACAAATCAAGTTCTTTTAATTTTAGTGTTAGTTTAAACAATTCTAGAATGTACAAATACTAGAACAATACCCCTATAGCATCTAAATTTCCAGCAACATTGACAAGGATGCCACAGGTCAGGGAAAAGTCAGGGATTTTTATTAAAAGTACTGGAAAATATTAAATTTTTAGAATTTATAAGAAAATACGGAATTTTTGTGTTTTTTTGTTTGCCTCATAAACTATGATATTGTCAAGAATTCTAATACAAAAACTTTAATTTTTTTCTATTTCTGACAATAATTTCTTATTAAACAATTTAATACTTGAAGAACTATCATAAAATTATTACTTATAAATTATTTAATGAATAATTTTACTTAAAAATTTCAAAATTAATTGGATTTCAAAAGAGTTGCGTTTACAATCTTCATAAATAGATGAACTTCAAAGGATGCAATTGAAATAATTTTAGAAAATATCAATTTTTTATGAATTTAAAATTTTAAATAGGAATTTCAAGAACAACTGATTACAGAAATTCAATTATTTACAAAGTGATAAACTTCTTCGCTTAAATTCAATTCTGTTAAAAAATTATTAAAAATTCTCGTCAGAAAAGAGAGAAAGAAAGAGAGAGAAAAGGAATTAGGAAGGAACTATTTTTAAAAAAGCCCATAAAGGGTTATTTAATAATTTTTACAAACCGTTTTTTCAAAAAGATGAACGCTATTTATTATTTCATATTATTAGATAACTGAATTTACAATTTTTATTACAAAAAGACAAATTTTCTTATTTATTCAAATGATCTTGAACGATAAGGTAGATTTCTCCAGAAACGACAGTCAATTACAGAAAAATTCATAGATAATCAATAATTTACCACGTTTTTGTTTCCATAAACAAAAAATTGAAAAATTATTCTTAAATTACAAAAAAATTATCTTTACAAAGAAGAGAATGTATTTTCGTAAACGAAAGATCTTCAGTTGCGATAATTTATTTTTGTAGGAATATAAATCTTATCTACAGTCGATAAATAGATTATTACTTTACATTAGATTCTGTGACTATCATAAATATATTTACTATATTTTTCTGTTTTTTTTTTTAAATAACTCTTTGACATTGAATGCCTTAATGAATATAATTTCCTAGGAAATTTATTTTCTTTTATACTATATATTTTGAGTGACAATTTGCATTTTCTTTGTTTTTGTCAAACAAAAATGAGAATATGACAATTTTTGCAACATTTTATTATAATAATTATTTGATTTTCATTTTTTTTCAAATGATTGATTTACAATAAATAGGGAATCTTAGCTTAAAATTTATTTTTTAAATAATTAACATTGTCGTTATCTGCATTTGAAAAAGTTGTGTTATATATCGATCCGCGCACGTTGACCTCATAATGTTTCACTTGCCTCTGCAGTGTGCCTATATGCACCTGCAACTACATTTTTCCACATTATGAACCAGATTTGTAAATTTTAATTTATAATTCATGTGTTCTTATTGTTTTCCTTATTAATTTTTTATCATTTCTAACACAACTCTTACCTATACTGCATTGACATAATTTTTCTTTTCACAACACATTTTGATTGTTTTGCTTTTGAATTAATTATTTGTTTGTCATTTATTTCCGGTGTTTAAATTCTTTGTGTTCATTTTTTTGTGGTATTTGTTGTTTTTTTCCTTTACTTTTTTTCTTTTTCTGTAACTTATTTTGTGGTATTTTTTTTTTGTTTGCAATAAATTAATTATATTATGGGAATAATTTGCTGCCGTACAATAAATATAGCTTAGTTTTTTTGCCATTCGTGTTTTTTTTATCGTATAGATTATTTATGTACCTATAATCAAATATTGACTTTTTTTCAACTTAACGGTGAATATTTGCGAATTGAAATTCCGTTAATTTATAATTAGTTTCAAGAGTAGTAGATTTGTTTTTTATTCTTTGGCATAAACGGACAGTGATGAAATATTAAAATACAATTCTTGATTATTCTCTTAATTATTTACTCGAGGAACTGGAGATAGATGTTCCTAAACTAGGAGTTGGACTACTGCTGCAGGATCTGCTTAGGGATCTATGCGGTTCTGCACTGAGGAAATTTCTATCATTTGTTGTCGGTGGTTTGTCATTTGGCTCTGCAGGACTTGCACATCTTCGTTCACTGCAACTGGTGACTGATGTTCTCGATAGGGTTTGTAGTGGAATGCGATAGATCCTCATTGGTTTGCTGTCACCCTGAGAACCTGTTTTTAAACAAAATTGCACTTATTAATACAGGGAATTCAGGGAAAAGTCAGGGAAATTAGAATTGGTTAGGAAAATCAGGGAAAAGTCAGGGATTTTCATTAAAAGTACTGGAAAATATTAAATTTTTAGAATACATAAGAAAATTCAGAATTTTTGGTGTCTTTTTTGTTTGTCTCATAAGCTATGAAATTGACAAGAATCCTTATACAAATCCTTCAATTTTTTCTATTTCTGACAATAATTTCTTTTTAAATAACATAATTTTTGAAGAACTATCACAAAATTTAAATTTTTTTAAATTCTCGTCAAAATTTAAATTATTTTTATAAATAATAAAATTCTTCACCAAAATTCAATTATTTTCAAAAAATTTTTTAATGAAATTTCTCCATGAAATTTAATTTTTTTGAAAAACTTTTAAAAAATTCTGAGAAATTCAATTATTTAAAAAAATTTGAATACAATTATTATTTAAAAGAAATTACTTATTTTCATAAATAATAATATTTTTCTACGGAATTCAATTGTTTAAAAAAATGTTTAATAAAATTCGTTGCCAGAATTCATTTATTTTCATAAATAACAAAACTTATCGCAGAATTCAAATTATTTCTTATACAATTTGAAAAAAACTGATAGAAAATTGCATTTATTTCTAAAATTTCTTTTTAAATTCGTCGAAAGAATTAAATTATTTTTAAAAATTTTGATAAAATTCTTTATAAAAATTCAATTTTAAGAAATTTCAATTATTTAATAAATTATTTATCTTTCTATTTAAATAATTGGATTCAATTATTTTAAAAACAATTTTAATAAATATCAGAATTCAATTATTTTTATAAAATTTTGATAAATTTCTTTATAGAATTTTAATTATTTTTTACTTTACGTTCTTACGTAGTTCAATTATTTTAAATAAAATTTCTCGAAAGAATTCAATTGTTCTTAAAATTTTTGATGTATTTCTTATAAAAATTTCAATGATTTTTCCAATAAAATTACTCAAAAGAATTCAATTGTTATTAAAAATTTTTATAAATTTCTTGTCAGAATTTGAGTTATTTTTCTTTGCAAGAAATCAATTATTTTTAAATTTTCGCTTGAAATTCTTTTGAAATTATTTTAATTTTGTAATATATATTTAATTGATTATTAAAAATAATTGATATAGAGAAGAATTTTAGTTAAAAACTTTAAAATAAATAATAGAATTTTGGAGATGTTGCAAATAATAACATTTTTTTTAGAAATAATTGTATTTTGAGAAGAATTGAAATAAAAATGATTTGAAATTCTGAATCATTCATACTTTTAATTAATAATTCTAGGGAATTAATTTCTTTGAGTAATTTTAATTCACATTTTTTAAAAATTATTTTTATATATTTAATTGATCAATTTTTAAACAATCGAAATTTCGTTTAACTGAATTGTAAAGTAACTTTTTCAAAAATTATTGAAAATAATTGATTTAAAAAAGAATTTTAGTTAAAAATTCTAGAAAATACCTAGTAATTGAATTGAAATGATGAAAATAAATTCGAACAAGTTACATTAAGAATATTCTTATAATATATAATATTGATTTATTACCCGGTCATCTTTAATTATTATAAAACATAGAGAAATCGATTACTCGGAGTCGAAGACTCGGAGTGATTGATTTCTTTATGTTTTATAATAATATTCTCATACTTTATTGAATTTCAAAAGGTTTAAATATTCTTCAGGATCAGGAAAAAAGTGAACTTTTGTTTTATTCTCTTTGCTGCAGGAATAAGAGTTCCTCTATTGAAGGCATAATTCAGAATTAAAAATTAAGAATATTCATAAATTAGAATTCTTTATGAAATGCAATTTTCCTTACTTTGAAAACTGTTTTGTGACGATGGTGGACTGTTGCTTCGTTCCTCCTTCTCTGTTTTCGTGTCCAATCGAATTTTCTCACATTTTGAGGTCAAAAATTCAGGAGCTGTTGTCGCGAAGAAAATATCACGCTTCGAAGATATTAAACACAAATTTGGCATTGCAATAGTGTGAACCAAATTTCCATTTATTATCAAACGAATTTCCATGATATCAGCAGTAAAGGCAATCACATAGGGGAAGGCACAAGCTGAAAAGCCATTTAATTGTTAAAATTCATATTTGAAATCAATTATTCCTAATGGGATTAAATGCAGAATTTCTCTCATACCAACAGTTACAGGCACGGAGTTCCAATTGAAGTCAAACTCCGTTGGAGATGCATTTTCTTCGGTTAATTTTTGAAAGTGACACGTATCTGAAAATGAATTAGATTATTTATTTATTTATATTATTTGTTTTCATTACTTGTTCTTATTATTTGTTTTGTCTGTGTGTGTGAGTGGTTTTTTGAAAAAGGTCAGTTTTTTTATTGATCGTTTCGAAAATATGAGACCTACTGTTGTAGCATAATAAAACTTCCGGCTCTTCATCCTCACAAAGATCTAGAGCAGCAATCAAATGAGGCTTGACACTTCCCTCGAGATGGAGGATTCTCGATGTGCCATTCGCCGAAATTAGCTCGAAACTATGCCGTAAACCGCAGCAAAGTACCCATTCATTTCCAAGTTCTGAGCTTTCAATAATAGTCACTAAGGAGGGCTGTTCACTGGCATTCAATTCCTTTAAAAGAAGAAAACCATCGACGGTATCAGTGTCTGCTGATGCACACCACGTCGTCCATGCTGCATTGTGTTTCCACTGGAGGACAGTTAATCTCCTTCCAACTGCAATACACTAGCAAAAATAATTTCATCTTTAGCTTCTAAATTATTGACTACAGAAACATTTATTTCTCACACAAACTTTTAATTATTTTCAAAAAATAATAATTTTTCTGACAACCCTGTAATAATAGAAATGCAAATTGTAGAAATAATAGGAATAGTGTACCATTCTGAGATGAGAACCTCCGGGTCTAGTGATACTGTATAAATTACAACCCCTTGTACGTTCTAATTTTCTTTCCTTAACTTGAGAACGATTCTTGGCTGCTGGCGTCTTTGAAGTTGGTCCTGGACTTGATAAATGAGCAGAATTCTCAAGATTATCGTCTTCCTCATCATCGTCATTGAGATCCATACTCGCCAAGAGATCTCCTTCCAGTTCACTTAATCGAAATACATGGACGTTGCTCTCCTTACCTTTGTCTCCAGCTCGAAACAAAAGGATTCCGTGCTGCTCAACTACATCCAACTGTTTGATTTGCACCGATTTGTCAAAGAGAAGACGATGAGAAATGCCGTCTAGAAAAAAGGAAAAAAGAAAAAAAAGAAATAGTACAAAGACAATTGAAAAAAATAGTATTGCCATTAGAGGAAGGGAATCGATATTTTATATTTAGGATTATACCAAATGAAAAGTAAACTTTCAAAGATTGGTAAATAATGTTTGGTATTTTAGATGCAATTATAAGGGTATCATTTATCGTGGAATGTGTACTTATCCTATAATGTGTATTTAGCCTGTATTATTTCGTATATTATCGTATGAATTATTTATACCTACACTCGATTATAGTGTGTCCTTATTTTATCAATTTTTCTATCTAATTTTATTTGTTCTATTTTTACTTTCTTATTCCTCTTTTTCTAAGAATGCAGTGTCTTTATTTCAGTTTGTCCCAGTTTTTCGATAAGTTCAGCATCTCATTTTGTGTTGTGCCCTAATTTTTTTACCATTCGAGACCCTTTTTTATCGTTTGCTTTAGTACAATTTTCGGAATTTTAATTATCTATACTGCAATTATGCTATAATAATTATAATTCAAGGTTGCCACAGGTCAGGGAAGTCAGGAAAAGTCAGGGAAATTAGAATTGGTCAGGAAGATCAGGGAAAAGTCAGGGCTTTTTTTAATGAAAAATATAAAATTTTTAGAATTTATAAGAAATCTCGAAATTTTTGTTTCTTTTTTATTTGCCTCATAAACTATGAAATTGCCAAGAATTCCAATACAAAACCTTCAATTTTTTCTATTTCTAACAATAATTTGTTTTTAAATAATTTAATTCTTGAAGAACTATTATAAAATTATTACTTATAAATTACACAGGTCAACAAAAAAAGACTTACTTTTTTTTTATGAGATAGCGGAATGGTTTCCTATGTATTTTTGGACGCTGAACACGATCCCGACTTCCAAATTTGCCCATCACGTCAGGATTTTGAGAAAAGTGGGGGTAAAGACCCCAAAAACGCTTTTTTGAGGATTTTCAACATTTCTTTTCTCTTTAACCTGACGTGCTAGAGACTTCCACAAGGTCTTAAATTAAAGCTTGTAATGTGCACTACAAGACAAATATCCATAACATAAAAAAAAATTAAAATTTTTTTCAAAAAATGGGGTTGAAGACACCAAAAATTTGTGTTTTTGGATTGCTTTAATAGACTTCTTGCAATCGCTTGGATTCGCTTGAAAATGGGTACTTGGGGTTTTTGGGGTCGCTGATTACGAATCCAATATTTGTTTGCAAAAATTTAAAACGGCGAAACCAAGATGGCAGATGTAAAAATTAAGAATTGCTTGGATTCGCTTGAAAATTGTTATTTCAGGGTTTTTGGGGTCGCTGATTACGAATCCGCCATTTTTAATTTTTGCAAACTAATATCGGATTCGTAATCAGTGACCCCAAAAACCCCAAGTAACCATTTTCATGCGAATCCAAGCAATTGCAAAAAGTCTATTAAAGCAATCCAAAAACACAAATTTTTGGTGTCTTCAATCCCATTTTTTGAAAAAAATTTTTATTTTTTTTTATTTTATGGATATTGGTCTTTTAGTGCACATTATAAGCTTTAATTTAAGACCTTGTGGAAGTCTCTAGCACGTCAGGTTAAAGAGAAAATAAATGTTGAAAATCCTCAAAAAAGCGTTTTTGGGGTCTTTACCCCCACTTTTCTCAAAATCCTGACGTGATGGGCAATTTTGGAAGTCGGGATCGTGTTCAGCGTCCAAAAATACATAGGAAACCATTCCGCTATCTCATAAAAAAAAGTAAGTCTTTTTTTGTTGACCTGTGTTATTTAATAAATAATTTTACTTAAAAATTTCAAAATTAATTGAATTTCAAAAGAGTTGCGTTTACAATCTTCATAAATAGATGAACTTCAAAGGTTTCAATTTGAAATTTTAGAAAATATCAATTTTTAATAAATTTAAAATTTTAAATAGCAATTTGAAGAACACTCATTAAGGAAATTCAATTATTTTCAAAAGTGATAAACTTCTTCGCTTAAATTAAAATCTGTTCAAAGATTTTTAAAAATTCTTGTCAAAATTTTAATTATCTTTATAAATCATAAAATTCTTCTCCAAAATTTAATTATTTTCAAAAAATTTAATAAAATTCTTGGCATAATTTCAATTATCAAAAATTTTCCTCATTTCAATTATTTTTAATATCTACTATTTTAATAAAATTTTCCAAAAGAATTTCGAAAAAATTAAATAAACAACTTTTAAAAATTCTATAATTTAAAAAATTTGGACAAATTTCTTTAATTATTTTTTCAATTATTTAAGAAATTTTAATAAAATTCTTTCCAAGAATTCAATTCTTTTCCAAAATAAATTTTTTCACAGGAATTCAATTATTTAAAAAAAATTTAATAAAATTCTTCAAAGCAATTCAATTATTTAAGATATTTTAATAAAATTCTTCTCAAGAATTCAATTCTTTTCAAAAATCAAAATTTTTCACAGATAATAAAACTTTTACAGCGATTAAATTATTTTCATAAATTACAAATTTCTTTTTAGGAATTTATTTATTTTTATAAATGATAAAACTGATTGCAGAATTTTAATTATTTTTAATACAATTTGAATCTAATTCAATTTTAGGTAACTTTTAATTATTCAATAAATGATTGTTTTAAAAATTTAAATAATTAAATTCTCGTATAATTTTGTAATAAAAAATATATATTTAATTGAAAAATTTCGAATAATCGAAATTTCTCTAAAATTGAATTGTAAACAAATGGATTTGAAAATTCTCATAGAACTTTTTCAAGAATATATAAATTGATTTCAAGAAGAAGTTTAGTTAAAAATTCTAGAAAATAATGATGAAAATAATTTTCGAAAAGGTACGTTATTGAATTTTATAAGGTTTGAATATTCTTCAGGGTCAGGGAAAAATTCAAAATCAGTCAGGAAAAAGTCAGGGAAAAACAAAATTACATTTTTATGGCAACTCTGTAATTGTTGGTTCCTTTTTGTGTGTTAAAAAGATTGTCTAAAAGATAAGCCGAACAATTTTAAGAATAGTTATAATTATTATAATACTATAATTGTAATATATTTATTTTATTTATAATTATTATACTATTAGTTGTAGTATTTCGATAGAAAATTCATGTGTTGACTTTATTGCATCAAGTGCAACTTGTATACTAGAGAGTCAATTTACTTTTTGCATTATTTCAATTCAGATAATCTTTATTTTATCCCAAGAGACAATCTACGTCACAGTTTATGTCTCCCAATACACCGGTTTTATGTGTGTGCGGGTTTCATTTTCTCAAACGCAGATCAATTTAACGTTGTATATCTCTCGTCTCGTAGATTTTTATTTTCATTATGATGATGAACTTTATTGCGGAATATTAGATGCTTTATTCTTTTGCATTTATAAAAACTTGATATAAGCATCCGTTTTGCTAAACTGATTATTTCGAGATCATCATTCTTTTGATTTAATGAATCTTGTTTGGGATTTTGAAAATGCGTTAATTTAGATTGAAATCATTTGAAATATTTTAATTCCTGTAGACAAAATTAATGGGTATTTAAGTATTTACTTTTTAAAAATTATTCTAGTTTTGAATGTAATTAAGAAAGTGTAAAAAAATGGAGTCAAGATTAATTTTTCGTTAGCTACTTTTTTACTATTTTGTTGTGTCTTTAAGTCTGTCTACACATTTTGATACTTTTCCTGTCTTTAAGTCTGTCTATACTTTTTGCTACTTTGTTTAAAATTAATTAGGTATCGAGTACGAAGTCCGTAACTGTCTTCTTCAAGATTGATTTTTGTTTCGTTTCTTTCATTTCCTTCTCTATATATTAATTTTCATCTTCTCCTGGGATTTTATCCTCGAATGAAAAATGTATTAGCGTCAAAATATTTTTCACGTTTCGAGTAAAAGAATAAGAATAACGTTGCTCTACTTTTATAAACATGTAAATATTGCACATATAGGTGATTTACATTTTATGGTCACGAGAATCTTCAGTGAAAGATAAAGTATACATAGAGATATTATTGGAAAAATAGAAGTAAATGCAACTATTGACATGCTTACCCTCTAAAAGGAATGTTCCCGATTCGGTTGCTAGAATAAGTTTACTATCCGACCATATATCACCGCAAATAATCTCGTGTGGAAAGTCGGGATATATACATCTTGGCTCCCATGGTCTTGGTTTTAAAGGACCAACAGTTGCCATTGATGTTGGAGCAAGTCCACGAACGATGGCTTCTAATTTAAGGGCTTGTCCAACACGAACCATTTCAACTGCTCGAGTTTCCTCGCGACGTCGTCCAGGCGTTTCAACAACGTCGGACAATGCTCGACGATTAAGCATACTCTGAAAATAGATAATTGTTTTTTTCTTTTTTTTTTTTTAAAGTTAAATAGTGGATTTTTATACTATTCCCCGTTAGTGTATAGATAATAGAGAGAATAAGAGATAGAAAGAGACTTGACTCTTTTGTTCCTTCTTTTTTTACTTTTGTCAATAGTTTTCTGAAATGTCTGTCCTAGTTTTCTGTTCTAAAGGATTTGGCAACAAATCTAACTAGTTGCTTTTAGTTTTTGCTTGTTTGTTTGTTGTTGTTATTGAATAGTTTGAAACCGCTTCTCCAGTAACTGATTAAATTCTTTTGATAAAAAACAATTGTTTTTCGATTAAAAAGTTTGTTGTAGATAAAATACATTAACAAAATTCACAGTTTCTCTTTCACCACTGGTCAGGAATTTCAGGGAAAAATCAGGTATTTTAAAAGTACTGAAAAAAAATTAATTTTAGAAAATAAGAAAATTCTGCATTTTTGTGTCTTTTTTCTTTCACTCACAAACTATAAAATTACCACAAATTCTAATACAAAACCATCAATTTTGTCTATTTCTGACAATTCAATTACTGTCAGAAATGGAAAAAATTGATGATAATACAATAATTAAATTGTTAGAAATAGAAAAAATTGATGGTTTTGTATCTCTTTAAGAATTATTAAAAATTTATTAAATTTCAATTTTGAATGAATTTTTTTACAAATTTTAAAGAACTTGCTACGAAAAAAAATATAGCAAATAATTTTCCGTCTCTAACAGTTGAAATTTCAGTTTCTAAAAAATTAAGAGCATAAATATCGATGTTTACAACTGACATGCATTAGGTGAAAGAAAAAAATTACTTCGCCTACCAGTAAAAGCATTTTTCTACACTTAAAAGGTCATTTTGTCTGGCGCTATAAAAGTTATTCCCCTAAACAAGTAATGTCCGACACTATAAAAGTTTCTGCTCGAAAAGTGAAGTTTATTTGTTATAGCAACCTTTTTAACTCATTAAGGTCAGTTTTGTCTTTTTCACTATAAATGGAAATACTAAAGCAAGAAGAAATTTTTGATTTAGTACTATTACTTTAATGATAGAGTAAAACAAAATAATAATTGTTGATTTTAAAAAAAATACATTACTTGTAAAACAGAAAGATAAAAACAATAGAGTAGAAAAAAGTAGATAACAAAAATAACTAAATAATAAAGGGTAAAATAACAAAAATGAGTAAACAGAAAGTAGATAACAAAAATTCGTAAAATTATTCGTAAAAATTCTAATAAAAATTTTGGAAGCCATTTGTAGATTTATTTATGTTCGAAATCAAATAAATTTAAATTTGATGAGAAAGAAAAACCGGGAAAAATTAGGACAAAGCCGGGAATTTTTTTGAACGAAAATAGTAGACACCCTGTTATAATAAATTAATAGTGAAAATATTAACAGTAAAAATATTGATAATTATAAAATAGAACAAAATAACAAAATTGAGTAAAGAAAAAGTAGATAACAAAAAGAGGGATAAAAATAAATAAAATAACAAAATCGATTAGACAGTATAATAATAAATAATTGTCAATAATAATAAATATGTAATATAAATATTAAATAAATAATGATAATAATAATAACAAGAATAAATTTGCAAACTCGTACAACATCACAAAATCACGTGTGTGAAAAATGATCGAATTATCCAGCTGTTGATGAAAATCGGAACTTCATCATTATTAAATCATTGGCACAACAGGCAATCTGCTACAAAATTTATTCTCATGTTTGGTAGCATGTGTTTCATTGGAAATATATATAAATATAAAGCAGAAAAGAAATAACAGAATGAAAATTTATTTCATTATCTATTTACTGAATTTTATAATATGTGACCTGGAATGTTAAAAAGGACCTTAGGTCAAAAAAATCGATTTTCAGTTTTTTAGTGATTCTTATAGAAAATGATCTGCTCTTTTCAACGCAATAAAGCCCACACGTCTTGCTTTATTAGTTTTTTTACAATTGCGCTTCAAAGATGGACGCAATTGGCTAAAAAAACGTAGAAAAACATCAGCACAAAAGAAATATATAAAAATACTCGGGGGGTTTTGGGGTCGCTGATTACGAATCTGACATCAGATTTTCAAAATTCAAAATGGCCGATCCAATATGGAAGACAAAAATTTTAAAATTATATAAGTTTGCCTGAAATTCATTTCTTAGGGGTTTTTGGGGTCGCTGATTCAAAATAGTTTTATAACGAAGCAAACAGTAGAAAAACTAACCTTATTATATCATAATAAAAAAAGAATAACGATAGTGATCGTCAATTTTTCGTCAAATTGACGATCACTGGAATTAATTTTAACAAATTTTTTATTTTTAAATTTTTATTTGAAAGGGTTTCGTTAATTCTTTTGACAATTTAATATTGATGAAAATTGAAAATTTTTAAAAATTCCAGTAAAAAGTTACAAATAAATTCGATCAATTTTTAAATTTTGTTTTACCTATTATATCCGCCATTTGGGATTTTGAAAATCTGATGTCAGATTCGTAATCAGCAACCCCAAAAACCCCCACGTAATGAATTTCAGGCAAATTTAGATAATTTTTAAATTTTTGTTCGCCATATTGGATCCGCCATTTTGAATTTTGAAAATATGATGTCACATTCGTAATCAGCAACCCCAAAAAACCCCAAGGAATGAATTTCAGGAAAATTTAGATAATTTTAAAATTTTTGTCCGCCATATTGGATTCGCCATTTTGAATTTTGAAAATATGAGGTCAGATTCGTAATCAGCAACCCCAAAAACCTCATAGCAACATGTACCGAGTAAATCTGATAAGTTTGCAAACTGTTTCAAGCGAATCTATTTGCTTCTTACATTTTTTTTGGCGCCATATTGGATCCGCCATTTTGAATTTTGGAATTCTGATAGCAGATTCGTAATCAGCGACCTCAAAAACCACCGAGTAACGAATACTTCATATGCAGAAGTATGAATATCGGTTTGTTAACTTTAAGAACGTTTTTCTCGAAAACTTCATTTTGGACGTAAGGTCCCTTTTAACATTCCAGGTCACATATGTATATGTATATAAATATAGCGTGGATAATATTTTTTTGTAAAGACAACACAGGCGGTTTTGTATTGAGTAAAAAGTAAATTAAAAGTGAATAGTCATTCAAATAGTGAATAAAAGTAGAAAAGAAAAAGTTAAGTGCAATTGGCGGTTGCAATTTGTCATTGTCAAGAATCTATCGTTATTTATCAGCGAAATGGGAAAAGCATTTGCACTGGAATCAATGGAATTCAAACGCCTAATTGAAAGGAATGTAACCTCTAAACACAATTTAGTGTCCATTTAAGGTATTTCGCTTGTTTTAGTTGATTGGATTATGGATTTTGGCTTATGCGTGTTGATTAATGTAATAATGTTGTAGTTAATGTGATTATTTACACTTTTTTCCCCCTTTTCTACTCTTTAGATCTAAATCGAGATCTAAATTTAACAATTTTTTTTACTTATAATTAGTTATTTTCACCTAATTCAGATTTAGAAAAAGTAAATAGATCAGTAAAAATCGACCTGCAGATGAAGAAAAATTCCATTTTTTAGTATTTACATTTTCTTCTTTTGATCTTAGAGTGAAAATAAAAATGTAAAGGTAATTTGGAAAAAAATGTTACGTTTTTGAGAATGAAGTTTTTTTTAAAGGAAATAAATATTAGTTTGGAGAGAACTCACATTGCTCTTGCTCTCTTGCGAATGTTCCTGATACAAATCTCGTAGCAGTGTGTCCAGTGTTCTTTCCCTTTTTCTCGAGAATGTCGGCGTGTCGAATGTTGCCTTTTCACCATTGATCAGTTTAACCAATAGAAATTCACGGAAATTACATTGATCTTCGAATATTGGAGGACATGGTAGACTTGGTCCAAAGAGAGGTACATTTTCATCGCAGTAAATAGCTATTCGCCATCCATTACCACCCTCTTCACTGCATACCACCGCAAATACGTCTATATTAAAAAGTAGGATAGATTTTTTGTTTGTAAAATTATTTTTCAAAATTAATAACATATCTTTGCTCTTTAATACCTATTTCAAGCTATTTTTGGGGATTTTTTGGGAACATACATAATTTGAGATGGAAGCTCACAACTTGAGCTAAATAACTCATTTATTGCAGAAAACTCAAAACACTAGATACAATCATAATACATTCAAATGATGTTGATTTTAATTCACTTATATACAAAAATGATGGGATTAATACCGCTTGTGAGAGAAAAAATTAATTTTTCAAGTAGGTATATTCGGAGGCAAAAAATGTTTAATAACCTAATTACATTATTTTATAAATCTTCTTTAGACTTTATTTTTTTATTTTTAGCATTCAGGGTGGCCACATGTCAGTAAAGTCAGGAAAATGTCAGGTGACCAAATTTTTGTCACTAAAGCCAAGGAAATCATTTAATGATCCTAAAGTACTTAGTGAATAGAATTTTTATTTTCAAAAAACAAGAAACCAGCGAGAGAATTATGTCATTCTTTCTTTTGAATACAAATCAACTAATGGAGAATATTTATTGCGAAATAAAAATACAAATCGTGCGGGTACCAGATTTGACCTAGAATTCTTTTCTCTGTAATTAAAATAAACATTTCGTTTTTATTCACTAAAGTATACTCCTCTATATGTACTCTGGAGGGAAAATTTATGAATTTCTTCTATTGGAAAATACGGTGTAATTGAAATTTTGTTTGACCATAGTGGAAATATAGCTTTTGTTAAATGATTTCTCGCGGAAATCACGGCGACCTTGCACCAATTAAAACAATTATTTTAACCTACATACGGTCTACCTCACTTAAGGAGTTCGTGTCACAGTCCCAGCATTGACTTAACATTTAGCAGACATACACATAGGAGAGGATTTATTCTGAATCTCTTGACACGAGCATTGTCGAAATGATTTAATTGCTGAACTTTTAGATTTATTATTAGTGGAGAAAAAAAAGGGGAAGGGGGATATTTTTTTGAACTTACGTGTAAATTGACTTCGAATGCAATTTGGATTGAAGGTTTCCAAAAATGTGGCGTCATCGGTGTAAATAATGTTGACAATGTCATTACCAATGTGACGCTTTCGCTCCAATTGTTGGGGATTGTCTTTTGAGTGCGGTAACATTGTACTGACATGATACATAACTTCGTGGCCGGCATAAACTGTGTAGATACTGTCTTTGCCCGTCATGTCGCCTGAAATCGAAAATTCCCTCTTTTTTTTATTTATTAATAGAAAAAAACAAATTTCGTTCATTGGAACATTCAGAATTTTAGAATCATGAAGTATGTGTTTAGAGAAAATATTTCCTTCTCCTAAATAAATGGAAAATTAAAGAAACAATATTATTTGCTTTATAGATCAAGAAAGTTTTGGTTAACCTACTGCGCCTCTCTTTTTTCTTCTTCTACTCTTGCGTTGCAAATAAATCAGATAAACTGCTCATACCTTTTACATCAAGACCGCCTCTGTATTTGTCCCAACCCTTGAGCCTTATTCTTTCCCCAAGAGTTTCCAAGAACCGCTCGAAACCTGGGCTGCCTCCTTCTGCAAAGAGAATAAAAAAAAATAGTCGAATCGAAAAACTTTTCTTGTTTCAAAGTTAAATAAAAAAAAGGAGAAAAAAAGTGGAAAATTCATTACCATTCGATAGCATTTCGTCGTCGGTTGTTTGACCTTCTTTCGCATAAATAACACCAAATTTAAAGTTCACCGAACCCTCTTGTTCTTCAAGTAACAAAAGATCCTGTAATATTTTTCCATTAATCATTTTCTTTTTTCGTTGCCCGTGTCAAATATCTACTCTTATATTTGTTTTCTTAGAAGGATATAAATCTTATTCTTTAAAATTTCTCTTTTTTTTAATATAAAATACAAGCTTTCAGGAAAATTACCTTTTGTATTTCTGGTGAAAATATTTCCCTCGGGGCTTTATCTAGTTTTTCGAGACCAAAGAAGTTGCTGTAATGAGATATATCATTGATATTAAATCATCGTTGAGATTATGTCCTTTTTCTTTTCATTAAAAAAAATCATTTTATTTTTTTCGTTTTTACGTTTTTTGCTCCTTCTTTCGTTTTTTTAATATTGCTTTCTATGTTTGATACGGATTTTTGACAATTTTTCATCTAGAGTTATAAGGGAGGAATTTTTAAGCGAATCTGACAGAACAAAGCCAAGGGGAAAAGAGAATTTCCTTTCTAGAAATATTTGAATACATGTGTTGAATACAAATTCCTCGCTAGGCTATTTGAAAAAGGAATAGTCGCTCTTTTGATAGGATGAGTTTACTCACGTGAAATATTTCCGGAATAGTTTATTCAGGGTTGCCACGGGTCAGGGAAGTCAGTGAATTTAGGGAAAAGTCAGGGAAATCAGGGAAAAGTCAGGGATTGTTATTAAAAGTACTGGAAAATATTAAATTTTTAGAATTTTAAGAAAATTCGGAATTTTTAGTGTCTTTTTTGTTAGCATCATAAATTATGAAATTGCCAAGAATTCTAATACAAAACCTTCAATTTGTTCTATTTCTGACAATAATTTCTTTTTAAATAACTTCATTCTTGAAGAACTATAATAAAATAACTTATAAATTATTTAATGAACAATTTTACTTAAAAATTTCAAAATTAATTGGATTTCAAAAGAGTTGCGTTTACAATTTTCATAAATAGATGAATTTCATAGGTTTCAATTTGAAATTTTAGAAAATATCAATTTTTAATGAATTTAAAATTTTAAATAGGAATTTTAAGAACAACTGATTACAGAAATTCCATTATTTTCAAAAGTGATAATAAACTTCTTCGCTTAAATTCAATTATGTTAAAAAAATTTTAGAAATTCTCGTCAAAATTTCAATTATTTTTAAAAGTAATAAATTTCTTCTTGTCAATTCAATTATTTTCTAAAAATTTAATAAAATTCTTGGCAAAATTTCAATTATTATCAAAAATTTTCCTCATTTCAATTATTTTTAATATTTACTATTTTAATAAAATTTTCTAAAAGAATTCAATTATTTAAACCAAATTTTAATAAAAATTTCACAGGAATTCAATTACTTACCAATTCCTTTTTACATTTTTTCGCACCAATTCAATTATTTCGAAAAAATGTTTGTAAAATTCTTCGAAGTTATTCAATTATTTAAGAAATTTTAATAAAATTCTTCCCAAGAATTCAATTCTTTCCAAAAATAAAATTTTCCATAGTAATTCAATTATTTAAAAAAAAGATAATAAAATTCTTCCATAGATTTTAATTATTTTCAATTTTTTAATGAAATTTCTCAATGGAATTTAATATTTTCAAAAAGTTCTGAGAAATTCAATTATTTAAAATTTGAATAAAATTCTTTACAAGAAATTACTTATTTTCATAAATAATAAAACTCTTCCCAAGAATTCAATTCTATTCAAAAATGAAATTTTTCTCATGAATTCAATTTTATTTAAAAAGAAATTTAATAAAATTCTTCGTTAGATTTCAATTATTTTCAATTTTTTAAGGAAATTTCTCGATAGAATTTAATTATTTTAAATAAACTGATAGAAAATTGCATTTATTCTTAAAATTACTTTTTAAATTATCAATTATTTAATAAATTATTTATCTTTCTATTTAAATAATTGAATTCTCGAAAAAATTTCTAATATAAAAATTGATTAAAAAATGAATTTTACTTAAAATTTTAATTTATAATTGAATATTAAAAGCATTATAGCGTGAATTTTTAGAAATAATTGAATTTCGAAAATGGTTTAAATTAAAATCTTTGAAAATTTGAATTTATAGTTACAATATTCTTTTGATATAAAATAACGATTTTATCACTCTGTCATCTTAAATTTCTTCATGTTTTATAATAATATTCTCATACGGTAAAAAATCTGTAAATCAGGGAAAAGTGAGGGAAAAACAACATTAAATTTATGTGACAGCTCTGTTATTTTACAATGATTGCAAGGTCAATTTTTTTTGCTTTAGTACTGAAAGGTTACCGTCGATTTGAATTAATTTAACCGAAAATTTTTTTGAATTTAAAAACAAAAAATATTTAGATATTTATTAACCTTTGAGGACTTGATAATTTCTTTTATAATAATTCGAGGAATTCTTTCTTTATTGAAAAGTAAATTGAAAATTTTACCTCAATATTTGCCTGACGGTCATGGTTTTGTTTGGCGAGTAAGGCAGTGATATCTTTTGAGCACCCTGTATCGAAGAAAAGAGGTTAGATTGTATCGATTCATTTTTGTTTCAATTTTACTTTTGACAAAGATCAAAGTACAGTTTTTTTTTATTGTTATGAACTCACCGTGCGTCTCCAAAGAATCACCCTGTAGTGTGGTACACATTGATCACCACCCTCACTAATAACTACCGACAGGAACAAGGGATTTCTTTCTTGATCCGAGGCCACATAATTTTGATGCACTATGATTGAAAAAAGTCGAGAAGGAAAAATGAAACATTTTTTTTAGTTTTCTTGCCATATTTGATTTTTCTATATATTAGAAAAATATAAACTGTAGTCACGAAATTTACTCACATTTGCCAAGGAAATATTTGAAGTACCATCGTGTCTGGTATTCCGGATTTTCCAATACTGGCGTACTCGGTGAGCCGAACATCTTTTATGGAAAATAGTGTTTATCAATTATTTTTCAAAATTATTTACTCAACTATTTATTTATTTAGCTTCTTTATTTTATTTATTTATAAATTTATTTTTTACATATCTACTTATTTATTTATTAATTTATTTTTCTTTTGTCTTAATTTTGTAACCACGTTAATTTCCAGAAATAAATAAATATAAATATATTTTTCTTTGTGGAATGGAAAATAATTTGTCATTTACTGTCCTTATCAAGTCCCTGAAAAATTATTTATATATTGACATATATTTCGAATTGACCGGGTTTTATCAATTTAACTTTTCTCGTTGGATTTTTTTTCTATTTCTGTGTAGAAACTTTCTGCATGAGTTTATTCTTAGGGGATTAACTATATCGTGAGGGAAGAACGCTTAGGGTTCTGATATATGAAATGTCCATAGTTCCCAGTTGGGAGTATGTTATTAGGAGCAAATGGCAAACGACCATCCTCTTTAAAAACAGATAATTGTTATCTAACCAACTGCCTATTTAAAATCTTATCTCATTTCGTAGTTATTTTTTTTTAATTCCTTTAATAAATTGAAACAATAATTGTTGCATAATTATTTCAATAAATTTTACATTCAATAAATAAAAAATTAATTAATATTAATTAATAATTATTAATAAAAATTATTAATAATTATCAATTGATACTAAAATCGTGAATATTAGTTAATAATAAAAACGTATTATAAAATTATAAGGAAAAATAAAAAAAAAAATAATTAAAAAATAATTTGGAATGACAGGGTGTGTGTTTATTCGAAGAAGAATAATTTATATATCTGTTTTTTTAAATAAGAGGACAGTTTGAAAATTTATTATGGAATTTTACACGCTTTTATATATACAAAATGGAAAATTTTCTCTCTTCAACTTTGACAAATGATTTTCCATTTGGATTAATTCCGGTGCTTTGTTCAAAATGTAACAAAATAATAAAAGGTAGTTGAGTAATCCGCTTTGCTATTTCATCTCTCACCTCTTCTTTCTCGCCTGGAGAATCTCCATTTTCCACGCGAAATCGTCTTCCACTGTCTGTGCCATCCTGCTCAATCTGCGGCAACTAAAAACGAATGTCGAGACTACAATTGTGTTTCTGAGAGAAAGAGTAAGAGGGAGATAAAAGTATATAGGTTGGAAAAAAATGAATACATAATAAATTCACTTGTAAAGATTTTTTTCCCTTTTTCTCTTTTCTTCTTTTTTTTTGTTGCAAATTCCACTTACCATTTCCACACTCCCGTAACATCTTCTTGATAATACGCCTCTTCGCGAGACTGTATCTGTTGATGATCTGCAACAAATGAAAATATTATATAATTTTTATAACATTGCATATGATAATAATAATAGTAATAATAATTAAGAAAAACCGTAATTAATTATTATTTACTATTAAGCGAAATTAGCAATTTCAAAAGTTTTGATTTTTATTGCAAAAAGAATTTAGTACGATAATTACACTGAATTTAATTATTTAACTATTAATTAATTGTTAATTAATAAATATTGTGATATTAACTGTTAGTAAACTATTAATCAATTGTGAACTAACTATTAATTAACTACTAATTAATTGTTAACTAAATATTCATTGTGATAATAACTGCTGATTAACTATTAACTAATTACTAATTCACTGTTAATTAACTACTAATTAATTGTGAATTAACTGATTATTAACTATTAAATGTGTTAATGACTGTTAATTAATTGTGAATTATTTGATAATTAACTGTTAATTAACTATTAACTAATTCCTAATTAACTATTAATAGTGAATTAACTATTAAATTGTTGCTACTTAACTGTTAATTAACTATTAATTAATTGGGAATTAACTGCTAATTAATAACTGTTAATTGTGAATTAACTGATAATTACTCTCTAAATCTGAATTAGTGCGGATTCGTTTACTAATTTGAATTAGTAACAGTTTTTACTAATTTTTAGTAGTTTTTTACTAATTTCTAGTAGAAAATTACTAATTCAATTAGTAGAACGTATTTTTTACTATTTCAAATTAGTAAATTTTCTACTAATAATTAGTAAAAAACTACTAAAAATTAGTAAAAACAGTTACTAATTCAATTGGTAAACGAATCCGCACTATTTCATTAGTAGAAAACTACTAATTCAGATTTAGAGAGTAACTATTAACTAATTTTAATTAACTGTTGATTAACTAATAATTAATTGTGAATTACCTGATTATTAACTATTAAATGTGTTAATAACTGTTAATTAATTGTGAATTAATTGTTAATTAACTATTAACTAATTACTACTTAACTGTTAATTAACTATTAACTAATTTCTAATTAACTGTTAATAGTGAATTAACTATCTATTAGCTAATTTCTAATTAACTGTTAATTAACTATTAGTGAGATTAAATGAAGTATTGTAATTTTTTTCGAACATTATTATTTGTAAATTATTAATTTTTTATTTATATAATTATTATTTATACTTTATATTAATACTTAAAGACAATAAAATTGAGAATATTGAACTATAAAAATATGAATGAGGAGATTTATTCAAGTTTCTTTTTTCTATGAATTGGGTAGAGAAATATATTGTAATACGTGAGAAGTATCACGATTTCCAAGTGAAGTTTTAAAAGAAAAATATTCCTTTGTTTCGAGTCTAATTACTTTGTAGCATTAGGAACTTGTATATATCTATGTAGTAATGAATACTTTAGTTAAGTTGATACTGTCTCTAATTATATGTGTCAACCTTCAAATTTATCTATCATAATAATTAAAGTACTCAGATAAGTACGTAAACTGAATTACGAAAGAAATTACTTGTTCCTGTTTTTACGAAAATTCAATCAACAAGTCCACTATTTTTATGGATATTTTTTCATGTTTTACTGCAAATATAAATTACGTGAAAAAATAGAAAATTTTCTTTCCTTCTAAATTTGAATTAGTAAAAATTTTTACTAAATTGGAATTAATAACTGACCTTTTGCTTTGGAATTAGTAAATTTTCATAATAAATTAGTAAAAATTACTAGTAATTGCTAAAATTTACTAAGTCATACTAATTAAAATCAGTAAACAATTTTACTGATTCAAATGTTCAATATTAATTTTAATTATTAATTATTTTTATTAATTAGTTAAGAAATTAATTTTATTTTTTATTACTTTATTTATTTATTTCCAGTATTATTTTTCATGAAAATACATGACAATAAATCTATAAAAAAAACAGTTAAATAATTTGCTTATCATATAATTTATGTAATTAATATTTTCTTGACTTCTTTATTAATAATAATTATTCATTTAAAATTCACGAAAGTTGTATAACTTTAGTTTTTCAGTACTTTAATTTAACAGTAATTACTTTTTTTTATAAATAAATAGAAGAATGTAAATAAATATAAATTTTTCAAAAACCTTTAAATTTTTAAATTAAAAATTGAATCTTATTTGTTTTCAAATTTTAATTTTCCTTTAAATGAAGTTTCAAAGTTTATTTAAATATAAGATTATGTTTTTTTTATAGTAGTGATGGAATTATTTCGAAAATCACTAAAGGATTATTTGAGTTTTAATCAGATTGAGCTTAAAAGTTGATGTACAACGAAGTTAATGTAAAAATGCGGATTAAAAATTTGCATTGGATTAACATTTGCTAATCTCGGATATTGGAAATTTCCTGTAAGCATATTAAAAATGAAAATTTTACACTTTAAATAATTGCTTAATTTTTTTGAAAAATAATATTATAATTAAAGATTATTACATTCCGATATTAATATAATATAAATTGTAAATAAATTATTAATGATAAGACAAGCGAACTAACAATATTCTTATAAATTATAACACAAAATAATGATTTTATCACTGCGGGTTATCTTTAATTATTATAAGTTGTTAAATTTCAAAAAGGTTTGAATTTGAAATTTTCGAAAATTTTAATTCCTTATTTTAATTTCAATTCCATTAAAAATAATGAGTAAATAGGTATTTGTTTAAAAAAAGATGTCATTGCTGTTTTCGAATAATTTTATTACAATTAAATAAATTCGTAAATAAATGTCATGGAACATTTTTTTTAGTATCTAGAAATTTTGGAGTGAATCACAATTTATTCTTTAGGGCCAGGGTTAAAGTGAAAATTTTGTATGGAAATTAGAAATTTGTTATTGTGAAAATAATTTAATTTCTCTTTATTTTTTCTGTTTTAATTATTTTTTATTTATTTACCTATTTATTATGTTAATATTGTTAATATTAATATTAACATATTAATTTTAATAATAATAATAATTATTCTGGTTAATTAATTAGTGTAATTTAGTTTGATACCCTTTTTTTTGCTTCTAATTTGCTGAGAGAAAAGAATATTTTCTTTAGTATATGAAGAAAGTAACAAAGAGGTTTTTCTTTTATCAGAGAGATGGGTATATTGTAAAGTAAGAGGGGCCTAAAGAGAGGAAAATATTTTGTCAAGCCCTGCACGCGACACTTTGATTCGACTGCCCTTTCTGTACTCTCTCTCTCTCTCTCTCACTCTCTCTCCCCTTTTACCCCCCTCGTTGGTGTAAATATCTGGGTTAATGAGAACGAGCTGAGGTCGCACCTCAGCGGTATAGTTCGCCGGGTTCTCGTTGTCGGTTGTGAAAAGACGACGGATAAGGAACTTGGACGAATGGTCGAGAAATGTTATCGACTTTATACTGTGTATAGAATTTTACGATGGATGGTGTATAAAGAAATAGGAGAAAGAGAGATAGAGAGAGAGAAGGCTGTGAAAAGGAACTAAACCGGAAGAACATTTTGACGTCTCTGCTATATCGTTGACCGATAACGATCCTGGCATATTTCGGATAAACTAGAACTTGGCATGTTTCATAATTCACGAGAGACCTATTCACTTCTGCTTTATACGATTAATTATGTATCCAATATAAGGGCGAACGTGTGATATTTTCATTAATATTTTTTGTGATTTATTTTTATCTCACTCTCTCTCTCTCTCTCTCTCTACTTTTGAATCGATTAAATATAACTGATTTCAAAGTGAAAAGTAAATTTTACTAATAAATAGTAATTTCTACTAATTTATTAGTAAAATCAGATGTACAGGTTGTGTCAAATTTTCTTCTACATTTATTTTGTACGCCATCTGTGCCAGTTTGGAGTATCTGACGTGCATTATGTACATCTGATATCTCGAAATGGCACCTCAGACGTGCAAAATGAAATGTACTGCTGTTGACACTGTCCTCGGCGCATCTAATGTCCCGGAATTTTTTCCGTGTATTAAAACTATTTTTTAAATCGTAAAAAAAGTTAAAACGTAAACAAAAATTTTTTCTTTTGCTACTATTTGCATACTTTTTTTTTAAATTCGTGTCACTAAAAACGTTAAGAACTACTTTTTTATATTTTTGAAAATTTGCACTACTATAAATTCCCTAATAGTTGGAATAAAAAAATTAGTCTCAACAATTCTCAAAAAATTCGAAAAATTTTAATAAAATTCTTTCAAACTATTCAATTATTTAAAAAAAAATTTTAATTTTTCGAAATTCTATTATTTTCTATTTGTCTACTATTTAAAAAATTTCCCAAAAGAAAAAACAAATTTTTTATAAAATTAAATTATTTTCGTATGCCTAATAAAATTTTACAGGAATTCAATTATTTAAAAAAGAATTTTTATAAAACTTTTCTATAAAAAACAATTAGATTAAAAAGATTTTTATAAAATTCTTCGTAAAGAATTCAATTATTTTTAGTATAAAAAATGAAATTTTTTTTTAAAAATTAAATTATTCTAAAAAAATTTTGATATAATTTGTTTATTAAAATTTAATAATTAGGTATTCTCAAGAGATTTTTATAATTAAATTTCTTGAAGGAATTTAATTATTTTCCAAAAATTTTAATGAAATTTAGTATTCTTGGCAAAATTTCAATTATTTTCAAAAATATTAAAATTTTTCTAGAGAATTTAATTATTTTTTATAGTTATAGTGTGATTTTTTGTAAATAATTAAATTTCAAAAGATTTTTAAACCGAAATCTTTGGAAAAATTTATTATTGTAAAACTGTAATAATATTTAAATTTTTATTTTGAAATAAAGTTATTAACGTTTTGTATAATTTTATTTTAAAAATTCAACAAAAAAGTAATTGAATTTTGGAAGAATTACAGTTGTAATTTTTAAAAATAGTTAAATTTTAAATCATTTAAAATATTTTTTAATTCCTGTGGAGAAAAATAAATAGGTATTTAAATATTTATTTTAAAAAATGAATCTATTTTTTTAATGTAATTTAATTTAGAAATTATGAAAAAATTTAGTCGTCAAATTTAATTTTTCGACAGCTACATTTTTACTACTTTTTTTTAAGTCTTAAAACTACTTTTTACTACTGATTCAAATTTAGAGACTAAATAATTAAAAGTTATTATTATTATCGAATTAAATACCATCATTCCCAAATTAAATAATTAAAAAATACTTTATTAGAAGTTCTAAAAATTAAAATTTTATAATTGGAGCATACTTTGATATTAAAATTTAAATCTTGGACCAATAATGTCGAAAAAAAAGTCGCTTTAAATATTTTAGGCAATCGACAGAATTGGAAATTTCCCTCTGGAAATTGCCTCAAGATTGAACCAATCCTGGAAGTATGTTATACCAAATTTTGAATCAATATTAATACCTGTCAATTTATGAATGAATAAAAATTGGAAAAATAAATTCCATCAGAAGCGAAATTATGACATGTTAAATAAAATTTCCGTTACGTGCATTTCAGTGGAAAAAAGAAGAAAATCCAAAAGAAAGAAAATTTGACACATTTTTTTTTTATTTTTTTTTTTTTGCATTAATAGAAATAAATATTGACATAAGAGGTAAAAAAATTTGTCTTGAAAGTTGGAAAATTAGAAAAGTTGTACTTTTTCCATTTCTTTTCATTAGAAAGGTAATATAATTTAATCAGTTTGTTTAAGGTGTATAATTGAAAGGAAAGCTTTTTTGCGCTTTGCGTAATTAAATTGAAACCATTTTACATTCGTACTTTTAGAAAACTCAAAAGGAAATTGAATTTAGTTGAAGGAGTAAGAGAGCGAAGAAGAGAGAGAGAGAGAGAGAGAAAGACGTAAAGTCGATTTTTCCTATTATCAGTAACGGTTAATTGTGAATCCTTTTGAATTACTGTTGCAATTAAAACTCTGCTTCCGACAATTGGGTGAAATTCAACACACAACGCCAAAGTTATTGTCTAGAGGTGGTTTTGCAAAGTTTACAGTTGTTTTACTTGGGTTTATATGTATGTATAACATACATAAACACAAGAGAATGGGCAATTGTAAAGTTTCTCACTTTTTAGTTCATTTGATGTTGAAAATGAAATCAATATATATATATCTTTCTGGCACAGTTAACTTTGTTGTTTAAAAGTTAATCATAAACGTCAGAAAAAAATGGGGAATATGTACAGTTTCTTTGATATGAAAGCAATTATTTTTACTTATATACTGTGTCGCAAATTTTTATTTTCTATTGTTTGGCTTTTTCTCTACTTTTTACACTGCTTGCACTTTTTTTTATAGACAGATGCTACTTTCGTTTTACAAAACTAGAATATAACTTTTTCTCTTTTCTTTTGTAATTTTTATTTATTTCATTGCTTTAAATATTTTTAAATTAAACTAATTAAAAATTGACAATAACAAAATCAGTACTGATGATCATAACAAGAACAATTTATGCTAAAAATATAAATAAAAACAAAAAAAATAACAATCTTTAAATTAGGTTATTTTTAATTATTAAAATTTTTGAGAAGTTAAACAATAATAATTAATTATTTCTTTAGTGTTTTAATTTTTGAATCTAACATTATTCAAAAATTGAAGTAAACAAATAATAATAAGAAAAATGTATTTATTTATTCACAAGTTTTATACTTTAATATAATAAAAGTAAATATTTTTTGTAAATAAAAAGTAAAATATAACGAAAAATAAAGTTGATTGAATTTAGAAGAGTGATTAAATTGCTTAAAAGTATTGAATACGATTAAAATCAGTGTGGAAGCTTTTTAGCTTTTTATCCGTTTAAATTAAATCTATACTTTTTAGATAAACACAAATGATTGTGTAATTAAATTAATATACGATAATAAATAAAATTTTTCTCGTAAAAAATACCTGAGGAAAGAGATTTATTAATTGAAATTTGATTCAGTGTGCGGTAATGAAATTGGAATTTTATCTTCGCGTATTGAGTGTAATGAAAAATTCCCATTTTATTGCTAACATTAACAAAATTATTGCATTGGATTTTCCTTCTCAGTGAATGTGAATTTCGGGTAATTCATGATAGTTGTTTGATTTTTGCACATTGATAAGATATGTAAATTATAGACTGGCGGTACTTTTTACTATATATGTATTGAATTTCATGTACATATTCGATACTGTTGTCAATTTTATTATCATTATTGTTATTATTATTATTACTATTTTTTATTTTTATTACTATTATTGCACCCAGAAGAAAAATATATTTGACTCAGAGCCAACTAGACTTTTTATTTGTTTCAAATAAATTTTATTTGGTTTAATTAAAATTTTATTTGGTTCAAATAAAAGTTTTATTTATTTTTTGAATAAAATTTTTATTTAACTCAAATAAATTTTAATTGGTTTAATTAAAATTTTATTTGGTTCAAATAAATTTTATTTCGTTTAATTAAAATTTTATTTGGTTTAGGTATAAATAAAAGTTTTATTTATTTTGAATAAAATTTTTATTTAACTCAAATGTTATATATGGTTTGAACAAAATTTTTCTCTGGGTAGTCTGGGTGTAGTATTAATATTTTATTAATATTTTTTCATTATTTAAGATCATTTCATTTTTTAATATATCAAAAAAAAAAAATTAAAATATAAAAATTCTCAATTTATTCCCTGCACTACCTACACGATTTTATTTATGTTACAAATGAAACGAATTTTTTTTTATTCACATTATACTTTTTTCATTTTTTTTTCGTTTTTGAAATGTATTTTGAAATTCAAAATGTAGGGTGTTTAAAAAAATCTGAAACATGAATGCTTTCATATGTAAAAGACGCTTTCATTCCCAAAAGCATGTCACAGGTGCATTTTCTGCATTCAATTTGAAGCTTGAGCTTCGACGAGAGAGAGAGAGAGAGAGAGAGAGAGAGAGAGAGAAAAGGAGAAAAAAAATCTTTTTCTATCCCATGAAATACCATATCGTACCGAATAGCTGGCATCCGTTTTCCAATACGCAATTGAAAGTGGATTAGGAATTTTATGTCCCTAATTTTGATTTTATTTATATCTAAAAAAAGAAGAAAAACAAGGATTTATTGCTCTTCTAATATTTGTTGATTTTGAGTTTTGATTTTTAATTTGACTTGGAATTTTTCGATTTTAATTTTCTGACTTGGACTTTTTAATTTGACTTTTAGTTACGGTATTTGCTTTTTATTTTGTTTTGGTTTTTATTTTAATTTTCTGATTTTGACTTTTCAAAATTTTTAATCGAATTCCTTGAAAAATGTAATTATTCGTAAAAATTTTTAAATTTTATTAAAATTCGTCGAAAGAATTCAATTATTTCTAGAAACTGTAAAAAAATTCTTCTCAAGAATCCAATCATTTCCAAAAATAGTAAAATTCTATAATTTTTCTTCTTCTGCTGATTATCGGCTGTGGTTACTTTTTATAAATTGCGAATTAAGTTAATTTTGATGACTCAGATAATTTTTGGGATTGTTCTAGTAATAGTTTAGGACCAGTAAAAAATTTTGTGACTAAAAATTTTTAGTAAACAGTAGATAAAGTTCGCTCAAAAAATAATTTTTCATCTTCTGCTGATTATCGGCTGTGGTTACTTTTTATGAATTGCGAATTGAATTAATTTTGAGGACCCAGAAATTAATTGGAATTGTTCTAGTAATAGTTTAGGACCATTACATTATTTTTAGACTATTAATTGTTAGTTAACAGAAGATAAAGTTCGCTCAAAAAATAATTTTTCATTTTCTGCTGATTATCGGCTGTGGTTACTTTTTATGAATTGTGAATTAGATTAATTTTGATGACTTAGATAATTATTGAAATTGTTTTAATAGTAGTTTAGAATCAGTAATTATTTTTTGTTTGAATTTAAAAAAATTTCTGAAATTTTGCCTGTTTTCAAAGATTTTTAAGAAAATTTTAACTTAAACTTTAAAAATGTTTTTATCTTATTTTTAATTTTTATTAAGTTTTTGGTTTTTGAAAATTTAAAAAAATTATTGGAGCTATATAGCTGTGTTATTAGGCCATAAATTTTTTAAATTTTTGACTTGAATTTTATAAGTATTGACCTGGAAACCATGGAATTTTATATATTTATCATTTTGTGGCAACCATGTATCGTGGATTTAGTTAAAAAGAAAATTTTTTTAATAAAAATTATGACCAGAGTTGCAAAATAATGCGGCATAAATGCTCAGAATGGATTATGCTGCTTTGAGGACTAAATTATGCTTTTTAATGCTTTTGCAAATTGCAATTATTTATGATAAAAAATTTTGTAAATCTTTTGAAAATGATTTATAAAGTTTATAGAAACAAGTTATTTGATGTGTGCGAGAAGTTTACTAACACTTTGCGGTTAATTAACTCTGACCTTGTTATATGAGTGTGAGTATAGTTATATGTGTATATGTATATAAATGCTATTTGTCGAAAACTCAATTTAAAAATGTAAAGTGGTCCAACATACACGTGATGACTGGCACGTCGATGAAGATGTCGCAGCTGCGATGATGTGAGCACTGGCATGCAAACTGATCTAGATCGATTTCTGACGATTCTGATGCTTGGAATGCTGTTGCTGTCCTCATCGCTTTCATGATCACTGCACGGACTAATATTTCCACCACTGCCACGTCTTGCTTTTCGTCGTTGTTGCTGCTGCTGCTGCTTATCAACGACCAAGTTATACGACGAGGCAGAAAATGAAGGAGGAATGGAAATTGAAGTGGTCGTCGTTGAGGAGTTTGAAGTGCTTGAATTCGAGGACAATCCTCGCAGTCGTGAGACCAACTTCATATCTAAGCACAACATTTCTTTTTCAATTCGCGATATTCTATATATTTTCTCTCCCCCCTTCTCGCTCTCTCACTTTTTCTTGTTATTTTTTCCTTTTTTCTTTATCGATTCGAGGAGCAACGTATATTTGAGGGCAATTTTTCGTCCATTCTTCCTTTAAATTCTCGTTTTCTTCCACTTTTCCTTCACAAACCGGAAGTCACGAATCCTTCTTTAAAAATATTTTCTATATAGGTGTATATAACGTTCTTCTCAATCAATGACTTTATGAGTCGTACGTGCAGCAAACTGCGAGAAAAATATCCGCGTATACGGAAAAATAGAAAATTATTAGAATTTTCTTCTTGTTGATATTTGAAATTCAATTTCATTTTCATTTTAAGGAAATTGTAAATTGTAAATTGTACATTGTAAATTGTACATTGTAAATTGTAAATTTTAAATTAAAGCAGGCGATAAAATTTTTGCTTTTCATTTTAGAATCTTCGCTTTTTTTTATTCTATTTTTAAAATTCAATTTCATTAATTCAACAATATGTGAGACACACGTGTAGAAAAGGAAGTAATTTTCAAAATGAAAACGATAAAAAAAAATATTTTTGAAATGAAAAATTCTTGATATTCACGGTGCGAATATTACGATACTTGTGATTCTATAAAAGGAAAAAAGAGAGAAAAAAAGACTACTTTAAGCTCTCGTTTTGTAAGTAGATATTGCATTAGTCACATAGTGTGTAATGTCAATAAAAAAAATTTTTTTTAATTGCTCCCCTTTTAACTACTCTTTCATTATTACTCTCCTGGAAAAAATTTATACTTGAAAACTTCCCGGATTTTTCAGTCATTTTTTTTTCACTTCTAAAGTGTCGTTTCTAAAACCAAAAAATTCGAATTTTAATTAAAAAAATAATTAGCTTTGTAAAATTTTGTTAGCATTGGAAAAAGGGGAAAATTTTTCAGAGTCCGGAGGTCGATTACGTTATTTTTATTTTGAGTTTCAATTTCACTTTTATTTTCACTTTGGTTGATTTTTCATTTCCACTTTGGTGAATTTTTATTTTCATTTTTTCTTTGATGGAATTTTTTATTTTCAGACACAAAATAAAAATCTATCCAAGTGAAAATAATCTGGGAAAATGAAAATTTGGAAAAGTGAAGGTGAAAATAAATAGGTAAATAAAAATTTATAAAAGTGCACCTGGAAATCAGTTTTTGTTAATTTAAAAAATCAATCTTTTTGATAAAGTAAAAAATTAATAATAAAAATAATTTATTTAAATAATAAATTATAAATTTAAATTTAATCTATAATTTATTTAATAAAAATTTCTTTTTAAAAGAAAAAGAGGTATTTTTATTCAAGAAAGTTTTTTTTTATTTAAACAACTTTTCATTGATTCAAATAAATTTTCTTTGAATTCAAGAAATTTTTTTTTAAATGAAAAAAATGTTATCATTGATATAGTGACGAAGAAATAATTATTTGATTTAAAAATATGGAATATTTCTTTGACGGAAATAAGTTATTTTTGAATCAAGACAATTTTTGGTTTGATCAAAGAAATGTTTTTTGAATCAAAGAAGTGTTTTTTGAATCAAAGAAATTTTTTTTTGTATCGAAGAAAAATTAATTTTCAATCGAAGAAACAAAAATTAAGACAAATGAATTTTTAAAACGACAAGAACGTTTTCTTCCAGAATTTAAAGTTTTTTTTGTCAAAAAACGAAAAAAAATTCCATAATTTCTATTTCTTAATCACGATTTTTAACAAAATTTTATTTTCCTTCAATAAATGAAAAGAAATTGGCATCATGTTTATTTTCTAATTACAATTTTTGTACAAATAGGCACTTTTCGATTAAGAATTCTGAGAAACTTTCTATTTTTCGATTTCTGTTAAAGAAATACTTGAAAAGAAATTAAATTTTGTTTTACTTAAGAAAAAAAATAAAAAATGTTAATAGAATAAAAAAAAGTTAATAGAATAATTTCTTAAATGTCGATTAAAATTAAAAGTAGAAAAAAATTTTACTTATAGAAGCAAAAGAAAAAAAAATATTGAACAACATATTTTCCGTGCAAAAAATTTAAAATTAGGAAAAATTGTTTTGATTTTGAATAAAATAATTTTTTACCTAGAAAATATTTACAAGCATTCGACGTGAATAAAAAATTATTTCAACAATTTTACTTCTGATATTTAATTTTGTGTGAGAGATAAAAATTCTGTACTTGGATTGTATATATATATATTGAATATAGCAGAGAGAGGAAGATGAGAGTTTGGAGTGAAACATTGTGGGGTTTAACGAATTAGATTTTGTCTGTTTCGAGGAGATGAAAAAGAATAAATTTGAAAAAGCAAACGAAAGTAATTTCAAGAAACAATGTTGTTGGTTGAATTTAGGAGCGATCTTGATATTATTCCAAAAATGCGGGGGAAATTCTTTAAATTGCTTTTTTTTATTCGATTTTGTAAAGGAACTTTTAATTTCAAGAAATTTTTCGGAATTTGTATTCTATATATATAAAATATTGAGTAATTAAAAAACTTAAACTAATATTGATTAAATTGAATATTCAATTAACTTCTCTAACTTCTATATTGTGTTGGGAGAAAAAAAAATTTTCTAATTAAACTGAAGAGTTGGAGAAAATATTTGGCATGTTTAATTTAAAATTTATTAAATAACTTCATTAGCACTTGTGAAACTAATATTTGAAGACGGTTGTGATATAGGAAATTTTTCCTATTTTTAATTCTTTAAATTCAAGTTTTTTTTCAATCTTTTTTTCTTTTTATATTTAATCATTTAATTACTAATTTTTCTTTTAAAATACTAGAAAAAATTTTTTTTTCTACTTAAACCGAATTTTGGTCATTTTTAAACAGTTAAGTTTTTCAAAAGTAAAACGAAACGAGCTTTTTAGGAATTCTTTCTCTCGTATAAATTTCCGATTATTTTTTATTTATAATTCCGATAATTTTTTTAAATAAATGATTCTTTAGTGGAAATTGAATTTGATTGTTGTTTCAGATAATATTCGTTGTAAAAAAAAGAAAAATAAACTTTTTCAACTATTAATAGAAAAATTAAATAATATTTAAAAATATTTAATTTCATTAAAAATAATATTTAATATAGTATTAAAATTGTACTTAAGAAGAAACTTTAGTTTTCTTCGCGAGTGTAAGAGTAAAAAGGAGGAAATTAAGCCTTCTCGAGTCTTTAATTGAAAAGCAAAAATTTTGTGTGGAAGATTGAGTGGCTTTTTCTATTACCACGATGCCTTGAAGAAAATTCATTGTCAGTAGAATAAGGCGCGCGATGGTCTTTGCAATTGGTTAGTCTGAGCACAAACTTGAAGAGAGCTACTACCCTATTGGCATTCCATTCCATACCGAGTAGACACAGTTTCAGACGATTAAGAATGTTTTCTTCTGCTCACGTTCCGTTCAACTCAACTTAACCCTTATAAAATAAACTTTAATTTAAAGAAAGAAAAATCGTATATTTTTTCCCTTTTTTCCCCTCTCTTCTTCATCATTATCATCATTTTTTAAAAAAATTAGGTAAAAATTATTTTTTACTATCAACAACCCAGTCGAAAAGGTTTATTCTACTATTCTCTCAATCTCAATTATTTTAAAATAACTTATTGTTGCGGTAAAAAATCTGAACTAATTATTAAATTATAAATTATTAAAAGAAAAATTATTTAAAGTAGAAAATAAATAAAAAATAAAGTAGAAAATAACTAATTATAATTTGCTTCATTTCGTTTGTGAGAGAATTTTCATGCCATCTAGGCGGCAATTTAATGAATTTTATGGGCGCGAAATTCAAAAATTAAATTTTTAGAGACAAATTAAATTAATAATATTTATTAATATTATTAATGTATAATTAATTTATAAATAATATACTAATATTATTAATCAATTAATTATATTAAATAATATTAATTAACTAATAATCAATTAATATCTATGCAAAAATATTTTTTGTAAATTTCCATCTAATGTTTTTTTTGTGTAATAAATAATAATTATAGTTCGGGTAGAAATTTTATTTCTTTTTTTTATCACCGAAAAATATACAATGAATTTTTATTGTAAAATTTCATAGAATTTTCCCTGGATTTTTTTATAGAATTAGTCTATAGAATAGAATCATTTCAGTAAAATTCTATACAATATTTTTTTAACCCGAAAGCCAAAATAATTGGCCTTCATAAATGAAAAAGAGGGGAAAAATAACAATTTTATTTCCTTTGTTTCTATATATATATATATATATATATATATATATATATATATATATATATATATATATATATATACACGATGGTGTTAATTTACCCGCATCTAAAATGCATTAAACTTGTTTTCTACTATTTTTTCCATTCTCCCTCCCACCCTTTCCGTCTTATCTCATGAAACTATCTCCTCATCGATAATTACAATCGAGAAGAAGATCTCTTCGTGATCAATCAACGGGATTTCCGCGCCATTCAAGATGAATTAACGTCGTAGGTTTCTGTCAAATCCTATGTACATAGGAAATATAAAACTTTTTTGTAATTTTTACACAGCTTGTTATATTTTTTCTCTTTTTTTAATTCATTAATTTTTCTATTGCCTCTATCTTTTTTCTCTCTTTAATATCGAACCCTTGAAGATATTTCTGTTCGATCAGATACCGATTAATGACCTACAGACCTTATTGATGTACATAAGTAACTTTCCCGGCTGTTTTAAATTAGATTTTTTTTTCTTTAGTTGAAATACTTTTCTTTTTGGTGTATATTTTCTTTTTTTTATAATTTTTTAGTTTTAGCGTTGATTTTAGGGTTTTTAATGTATTTTTTATTTTTTTACTGTTTTGACGCTTTAGTCATGGTTTCTTGAGTTGGAATTAAATTAGCCACGGTTAATTAATATTCCTCTGGGTACTCTAGTCCGTTGTTGTAATTTCGGGTAGGTCAAATAGTTTGGAATGTAAACTTAACTTGGCGTTTAGACTTAAACTCGTTATTAATTGTTTGCACTGTTTTTTTTTGTTTTCATTAATTTTTAGGTTTTACTTTTTATTTTTTAGTTCACAATTTTTTTTTTGCTGCACAGAGTTTTCTAGTTCACAAAGTTTCCCAGTTTACAATCTTTCTTAGTTGACAATTTTTCCTAGTTTCCAAAGTTCCCTAGTTTACAAAGTTTTCCAGTTCACAATCTTTCCTAGTTCACAATTTTTCCTAGTTTCCAAAGTTCCCTAGTTTACAATGTTTTCTAGTTCACAATGTTTCCTAGTTCACAATGTTTTCTAGTTCACAACGTTTCCTAGTTCACAATGTTTTCTAGTTCACAACGTTTCCTAGTTCACAAAGTTTACTAGTTCACAATGTTTTCTAGTTCACAACGTTTCCTAGTTCACAATGTTTTCTAGTTCACAACGTTTCCTAGTTCACAATGTTTACTAGTTCACAATGTTTCCTAGTTTACAATGTTTTCTAGTTCACAATGTTTCCTAGTTATCAAAATTTAATAGTTTCACAATGTTTCCTAGTTCACAATGTTTCTTAGTTCACAATGTTTTCTAGTTCACAAAGTTTACTAATTCACAATGTTTTCTAGTTCACAACGTTTCCTAGTTCACAATGTTTTCTAGTTCACAACGTTTCCTAGTTCCCAAAGTTTCCTAGTATCACAATGTTTTCTAGTTCACAAAGTTTCCTAGTTCACAATGTTCTCTAGTTCACAATGTTTTCTAGTTGATAAAGTTTCCTAGTTACCAAAGTTTCCTAGTTCAAAATGTTTCCTAGTTTCCAAGTTCACAATGCTTTTTAGTTTCCAAAGTTTCCTAGTTCACAATGCTTTCTAGTTTCCAAAGTTTCCTAGTTCACAATTCTTTTTAGTTTCCAAAGTTTCCTAGTTCACAATGCTTTTTAGTTTCAAAAGTTTCCTAGTATCCAAAGTTTCCTAGTTCACAAAGTCTCCTAGTTTACAATTTTTTAATTCATCTCATACTGTTTATTACAGTTTGGCTAATTTATCCCTTGTTGTTTGTTTATTCTCGTTTTGCAAAAAATTTCTCTTGAAACACCTCAGGAGTTAGGCGACACATTTGAGGGGAGGGGGACACAATAACAACCCCTTCTCCATTATTATGTATTATTTTTAAAAAGAAATTTTTTTTTTGTCGAATTTTAATTGAATGAGTAAACTATTTTTTTCTTTACTTTGCCGATGCGCTTAAGGAGGAAACGAAGTTCGCTCCTTGGGATTTCAACCCCTACTGAGCGGTAACCCCGACTCGATATATACGACCCCCCACGACCCTGTCGGAGCAACGAACACTTAACACCCCAATATATACATATATAAGCATGTATAACGCGTCATGTCCCCGCTCAAGACGCAGGCCGACTGGCGCCACATCCCGCCTTGCGGAGTGCATCGGCTCTGTCACAAACACAGCAGCGCCAACCTGAACTTATACTTACGGTTGTTTCATCCGCATGCATACATACGTACTTGTGATTATGCCATCTGTGTGTGTGTGTGTGTGTGTTTTTATACATTGAAACGCGCGACCCGTATTCACGTGAATTCACGAATACTCTATTAACCTATTTACTCCAATCGCCACGAGATAGGTCCTTTTTTTAAGTATATTTGATAATAAAAAAAACTGACAATAACTCGCTGGACAAGTTTTACACTTTTTGAATTTTTGGCTTCGATTCAAAACTTTTGAGATTTGCAGGTAAAAAATGTCCTGTTTGTTTAATTGCCCTGAGAGTATTTCTAAAGTTATAAAACTGAGACAAAAAACGAATCAAAAGTGTTGCGAAGCAACATTTTTTTATCTCAATTTAATATCCTTAGAAAAACTGTGTTGTATAGAAAAAGGTACTATTACAATGAAACTGCAGTTACCAACGTTGATACAACGAAAAAATTTTAAAAAAGTTTTCCTGGGAAGGTCATACATTTTTTTTTGTTTATTTTTAACCCAAGTTAACCCTCCAATTGAAAATTATTCTTTGAATAACGATTTCATGAAATCGAATTGAAAATTTTTACTACTGAAAAAATTGTTTCGATATAAATATTTACAAATAAATGATAAAACAGAATAAAAAATAAAATAGTAACAATAATAATAAAATAATAATAAAATAGTAACAATAATAATAAAATAATAATAAAATAGTAACAACAATAATAAATATAAATTTTTTTTCTGTTTCAGGTACGTTAGTCAATGTTCTACCAACAATATTAAGTCCAAAAGTATTAGTGAGTAATTAAAACTTGAAATCAATTTTTCTTAGTGACATGACACTTGAAATTTCTATAAAAATATGATATAAAATATTCTTTTATCGAGAGAAAATAATTTTTATTTCTTTTTGCGAATATCAAATCAAATTGTCAATGAAAAAAAAAATTAAACACGTGCCATTTTTTGCCTCATTTTTCATATTTTGTTTCGCTTACATTTGATTGTTTATATAACTTTATTTTTACCGAATATTTTATAGTCTTTTTACGTTCAATAAAAGCTCTTTTTTGAATTATTTCAAAATCCACAGTGCATTTTTGGTTATAACTATGGTTTTAAATTTCTTTTTATCGAGTTTAATTTCGTTTGATTTCCACTCGAATGCATCTTGTTTTAACTGTTTGCATTACAAATTTCATCATTTGCATCTTTTATATTCAAAAAATAAAACACAGTCGAATATGAAACAATTTTTTGTCGTTGACTTTTATTTTTTATACGCTACTCTCAAAGTATTTTAATTTAATAATTCTATTACTACATTAGGTAATAATTAGTCCCATTCTAATGTATTCATGTTTCTTAGTGCGAAGATTAACAATTAAAATTTTTATTAGTTAATTTAAAAAAAGATACACACTTAAAGTTTTTTAATAAAATTAAATTTTAGCAAAGTTTTTTTTGAAAATTCTGAAAAATAATATTTTTGAAACTCATTGCAGAATTTTAATTCTTTTTAATACAATTTTAATCGAGTTCCTCGAAAAATGTAATTATTATTAAAAATTTTTTTTAAATTCGTCGAAAGAATTCAATTATTTCTAGAAACTGTAAAAAAAATTCTTTTTAGGAATTCAATTATTCCCATAAATACCAAAATTCTTAAGATTTACTAAATTCTTTCGAATATTATTTAAAATAAAATTCTTCGCAGAAATTCAATTATATTTAAAATTTTTTTTAATTTCTCCTCAAAATTTCAATTATTTTCAAAAATTTTAATAAAATTCTACACAAACATTTAATTATTGTCATAAATAATAGCATTCTTTGGAAGGATTCAATTACTTTTATAAATAGTAACATTTTTTGCAGAAATTCAATTAGTATTAATACATTTTAATAAACTTGAGTTAATCAAATTTTTAATTATAATTATAAACCGACTAGCTTATTTTAAAAAATTGAAAAAATTCTTTGTTTAATTTTTAAAACTAATTCAATGTTTGTTTATTTTTTTTTTAAATAAACAAACATTCAAGTGAAGTAAATATTAAAAGAAGGATTAAAATATCTATATTTAAGTTCATCCTACATTTTCCCAGAATATTGTAACTTGACATTTTTATTTTGTAAACTTTCGAAATCTTTTCATATTTTTATATAGAAATTCACATAGTACTCTTCTTTTCACATTATTTCTTCTTTAATTCCGTTAATTGGTTTCTCCTACGCCAAAATTTTTATATACCACACCCACTATATATATATGTTGTGCACCACAGTATTTTTGTGTCATGTTTGACTAAGGTATATGTGCTTTCAAGGTGCACTTTAATCTCTTTTATGATATTTTCGATTTAGGAATATCAAGTTTGTTCCATTCTCCCACACAACTTGGCCAATTTATCGTTCTTATCAAAACTCTCGACGACTTTTCTCTCAGAGCGGGTACTTTTCAGAATATGTGCAACTCTACTTTTTTTTCTATATTATACAGTTTACTTTTACGAGCCGTAAAAAATGGTTACATAGAAAATTTTACAAATAAAGAGGGATTTTTTGTTTGAAAATGCATATTTTTGTTGAAAATAATTTTTATGGGAGTTACAATGTTTTTTGATGAAATTTACATTGATATTTGATGATTGAGGTAAATTTTATGTCTGACTAAAATTGACTTGTTCTACTGATAAGAGTATAGTGGATAAATAAGACTGTTTCAAAAATATAAAAACAAACAGAAAATTATACAAAAAAAGAAAATCATACAAAATTATAGAAAGAAAAAAAATACTACTAGGTAAATTATACAAAAAATAAAAAATACAAAATTATGCAGAAAACAAAAAAAAATACTATATTTATAAGTTTTGTCTGAGAGAAGTAAAGAATTAGTAATATAATGTTCGACCGAAGACTGACTTTCTCTACTGAAGGAAATTATGGTAGAATGAATTATTGACATTTTGTCTGACTAACACTCACTTGTACTACTGCAAAATATATTTTTTAAAATATTTTCTTATTAGACTTGAGATGACTGTTTATGTCTGACTAATATTCACTTTTACTACTGTATACAATCGTTGCAATATAAATTTCTTGCGGTTCGTCTGACAAATACTGACTTCTACTACTTTGGGAAACAATTTCGGTACTTTAATATAAAATCAAAATTTACAACTTTAAGACAAACAGTAAAAAAAAATCTAAACAAGAAATTAATTTTTTGCACTTTCGACACTTCGTCTAACTGAAACTTATCTTTACTACTTAAATTTACTGAATTCAAAATTTAATAAAAAAAATTCTGTCTCGCTGAATTTTTTTTATTAAATTAAATTAAATAAATTGTTTTACTTTTATTTTGAAATTTATAGCCATTGGCTGACCAAAATCGACTTATACTACTGATTAAAAGTTACTATATTTTCCATAACTTTTTTCAACACTAAAATAAAAATTAGTGAATGAAAATTGATTCTGTTTTATGAAAAAGAGAACCAAATAAAATAATTTTTGCTACTTTAAGAAAAAAAAATTGGAAAATAAATTGCTGGCATTTTGTCTGAATAAAACTGAGTTCTACTACTGTACGAAAAAATTTTCTATTATTTTATTTTATTTCTGAAATTTTCTTCTTTAAGTCTTATAAGAAACAAATGTCTGACCAAAAAATAACTTTCACTACTGTGAGAAAATGTTGAAAAATAAATTATTCGAATTTTGTCTGACTGAAACTGACTTTTACTACTATACGTAAAATTTTCGGTATTTTAATTTAAAACTCAAATTTATTACTGCAAGACTTCTAGGAAACAAATGTCGGATAAAAAAATAACTTTTAATAAATGTGAAAATGTTGAAAAATAAATTATTCGAATTTTGTCTGACTGAAACTGACTTTTACTACTGATTGGAAAGTACTATGTATATGTTCCATCTAACTATAACTTTTCTCCACTCGCAAATAAAAATTAGTTAGTAAAAATATATTGTATTTTACCAAAACAAAAAAAGCCATTTTGTCTGACTAGATCTGGCCTTCTACTACTTTCACTTAAATTACATTTCATTTAGAATAAAATTCCAATTCGATTAAAAATTTTAGAACTATTCAAATTACAATTTTAGTAACTTCGCACTTTATTTTTTTAATTAAAAAGTAAATTATTAATTTCCGATATATTTTTAAGAGAAGAAAGAAGAAGAAGAAAATAAAAAAGGAAAACAATAGATTTTAAAATACGAAAAAAAAATTTTAATTTGCTAAATAAATTATATTTTCACATTCTACATACGTTATCAAAATCACATTAAAAACTTGACATCGCAAAATTGATCTGTAAATAATGCAATTTAAACTGTACTTCATTACAAGCATTTATATTTTAATGTTACATAAAAAGCTAAAATTTTGATGCAATTTTTTTTTCGTATTAAACTTACTTTTAGTAGATCAATATCAATGTTGGTTAAAATTGATCGTTTATATAAAGTACTCAAGCTTAGGGGAAGATTTTTCTTTATACTTTAGATATAAATTTTTTTCTCTCTTCTCTGTCTTTTTTATTTTATTTATTTATTTTTTTTTTTTTGTTGAAAATTTATTTTACGACAAAAGAGATTTTATGACCTAGATTTCGATATGGGAAAATTATAAATTATATTTAACGATCACAATTGTAAATGTCAGTCAATTTAGTTTATTTCCTTGTTTAAAAAATAATGGTAATTTTTTGTTTTTAAAAGTAATAATGATAAGGATAATGATGTCATTTATGTAAAATACGATTTTTTGTAAAGCGAAAAAAAATTAGTGTATTAAAATACACGATTTGTGTGACCTTGAGATTTTTTCTTCCTTTTTTTTGACAAAACACATAAAGGGACAAATTTGCAT